TCCCCAACATTCTGTGATTCTGTGATAGCTGTTCACTCTTAGCAGCTTTAGAATGTCCTATGGAGTTGTGAATTAGTTTATTGCTAGTTGTAACAATAGTTATGAAACGAATTACAGTTGTTATGTTTTTGTAGGAAGTGCTGTAACAGTCAACTGTGTTTCAAGTTAAGGGGGCTCAGTGGACCCCCTTTTATAAGTCACCTGTTTGCCAAGACTGTAGCAAGAAACCTAAGTAGCCAAAATGAATGTTAGAAAACTATGTATCACATTCCTCATAGTTGCAGCAAGTCTGAACAATCGAGACTGTATTTCAAACTAAAAAAACCCCATAAGCAGCTATATGATTTAATTGAATGTTTTTTTCTCCTTTGTTTTGCAGGCCTGTATGAATTTCAATGATAGTGGTGCATGTGTTACGCAGTGCCCCCAGACTTTTGTATACAATCCTACCACCTTCCAACTGGAGCATAATCACAATGCCAAGTACACCTATGGGGCTTTTTGTGTCAAAAAGTGCCCACGTAAGTGCTGTGTTAGCTGCCGTTTCCTGCAGTGATGGGAAGTTTGGGTTGCATTTCAGGAGCCTTACAAAACAATGAGAGAATGAGAGCTAAATTCATAGTGCAGTGTCTCAAATGACTCCACATGTGCTTTCAGCCTGTAATAACTCAGTCATGTGTTAACTAAAGACAGTGGCATTCTGAGTTGCTGACACTTTCCAAGTATCCTGTACTGTAGTTGATTTTCTTAAAGAAAGGGAATTCACTAGGTCTCTGTTTTCATGACCACCACTTGTTACACTCATGCTTTACACCAGCATTTGTAAATTGCAAAGTGAACTGTTAAAATAGTGCCAAAAGGCTGTATAATAGTGGGTTTGTAAATTTATTTTTCTGAAAAATAACAGTCCACCACCAGTACTACCTGACACCGAAGGCTTTCATAATGCTGTTGCCTTTTTCTTAACTTGGAATAAGGATAGTTTGACAGAAAGTTACCACAAATACTTTCTGAGTAGGTGTGTCCCAGTGAGGAAAAACCAAGCAATACTGACAACAATACAGTCTTAAAACTCCAGAGTAAAATTAGAGGGCAGGGGAGAGGAGGGGAAGTTAAAAAAAGAATAATCCCATGCACGTAAAATCACATGCCTCTGAGATACCAAACAGATGATGACAAGTAATAGACAAATTTAGAGGGTCGTCACTTCCATAGTCTTTGATACTACTTTTTTAGTTAGGAAAAAAATAAGGGAGACAGTATTCTTGCTCTCTCTTTCATTCCCACCAAAGTTGACAGTTCTGTTGTGCACTAATGAGTTTATAAATAAATTACATATAAGAAGGATGAGTAATCTGTAATAAATGGAACCATAAGTCAACCGAAGCAAAAATCCAAATTTTGAATCTCTGTGGAGAAGTTCAAATTGACAGCACACTGAGTCTGTGACTGTCAAGGCTCAGTTCTGTCTCTGTTAGAGAGTGGGGTGGGGGGGGGGTTGAACCAAGATAATTGTTTTTGCAAAACTGGTATACCATGTACTACTTAAGGGATATGATTCTTTGTCCAAATACTTAATTGAATTTTTTTTTTCCTTTTTTTCCTTTCTTGACATTATTAAGTGTTCAATTAGGTAGGATCAGTCTGTATCCCCTTTGGCACTTGTTTTACAAAGCAAAATTGAAATACTTGTCATTGTCTTGTGCCGTATTTTATCCCAGATGTATATATTTGTGTATGTATGAAGGAGACAGAGCAGAACATGTTGTTTAATTTCTCTCCAGTTACTGTAGCTTTTTTTACCATAAATAATGATAAAACCAAATTTGGGGAGGAAGGGGGATCAGGCCTGACAATTCATTGATTTTCATAAGTCTCTGAAAACGTGCCTAATTTGCTTGCTTATACACTTCTGAAAACACTGAACATTAAATGTTAACGTCAGTGTGGAAATGCTGAGGTAATTAATAATATGGCTTGACATGGAGTCCAAAAACACATGTCCCAGTATTATTTAGTCCTTTGGTTTGCTTTCTGCCAATATCTTTTTTTTTTTTTTCTCTTTAGACAACTTTGTGGTAGACTCCAGCTCTTGTGTCCGTGCATGTCCGAGCTCCAAGATGGAGGTTGAAGAAAATGGTATTAAGATGTGCAAGCCCTGCACTGACATTTGTCCTAAAGGTAGGCAGTTGTTTAGTATAAATTTTCTTGAATGTGGTCTGCATTATAGTAGAGCAGGTTGTTATTTTGGCATGAAATACCCTTCATGAGGATGTTGGAGAATATTAATAGCCTTTGGATATCCACAGAACTCTGAGCTATGTAGGCTGTATGTGGAGTATATACAATAGAATGAAAATTTATTCAGTTGTGATGGCAATATAACCAAACCAATTAATTTTTATTAGATAAAAATGAAGGGGATTTCTCTGTTGGATTTAGAGGAATCTTGAAGAATTCTTTATTATGTTATTTTAATGACAAGTATTTCCTGGAGATGTTTTAGAACTGTCCTTTTGTCATTCCAGAGGGGACCATACTAAAGCCCTGGCTTCAATGTGTAGTATGTCTCATACTTGTCAATACAAATTAGGTTTCCATTTGTTTCCTCTGTTTCTTAAAAATGTCTCTTGTTTTCTCAGAATCTTCTACCTCCTTTCTGAGTGTCTAAAACACAGATTAGAAGTTTCTCAGTGTTGGTGCTGTTGAGAAAACTGAAATTTGTAGGTTACTTTGCTATCTCGAGCTTCACTATGGAGACCTTCTGCTTCCTGCTTGAAGGTCTCAGGAGCAAAGCACCATCTTGGGCCTGTGCTACTGTTCCGTCCTGGTGGAAGCCATGTCTGGGAGGGAATTCACAATGAAGCTACTGAAAAAATGTAGATCAGCAGTCACTCTGCATGGCTGAAACAGTCAAACACAGAGATCTCTGTCAAGGCAGGGTACTGACATGCTGAGTGCTAAGCAAAGGCAATGTCCGGCCCTGTGACCTCATCGCAGTAAATAGCTTTTTTGCTGGATAGATAGTTTTATGCATGAAGATGCATGTATAGTGTTCCTGTCAAGCTCTTAGCCTTACTCTGTGAGGAGGAAGGTTACCACATGTGTAAAAAGTTCAGGTGTGCTGCTGGTACTTGCCATTAGAGGAGCCCAGTTGGGGAGGTAGGACTTGTTACATGATGGAAGTCATGAGGGATTTGTTTCTGGATGTATCATGTGTCCCAGTAAATGCAACTAAATTACACAGAAGAGCTACACAGGGAAGTTTCCTCACTGGGTACCAAAGTTTCTCCAGGCCCCAGTAACTTGCTCGTTGGGATGGTGAGTAAGGAATTATTTGTACATCCTTTCTAAAGGATGTTATAGCATGTGAATGGATAAGTCACAAATCCACCACAGCAAAGGGGACTTCTTGAGCTAGCAGTGTTAGGACCCCTCAGTTTATGCAGTGAGTAGTGCACAAATAAATGGTATGTCCACCAGGCTTGTCTGAGATACCAGCTATCTGTTTACAGCTGACTTGAGTGGGGATTTGTGTGGCTCATACTTGCCTTTGGATCCAGTGTGAAATGCCTTAACCTGTGTCCCAGGTTATCCTTCTGTGGTGGGTTTGTTTTCAGTTGGCCTATGCTTCTGGGAATATGGGTAAAGGTGCCATTTTAATACCTCTCTGCTGCTTTATCGCTGAAAGAAATGAAGACTTGTGTCTAGAAGGCCCACATGTCCTGATTCAGTAGTTGTTTTTCCTAGTTCTTTACACAAACTCCTTGTTTTGGCAGCCTGTGATGGCATCGGAACAGGGAGTTTAGTGTCAGCTCAGACGGTGGATTCCAGCAACATTGACAAGTTCATAAACTGTACCAAGATCAATGGCAACCTTATCTTCCTTGTTACTGGGATTCATGGGTAAGTGACAAAATATTCATAAAATCATTGAATGTTGTGAGTTGGAAGGGACCCACGAGGATCATTGAGTCCAACTCCTGTTAAGATATTATGTCATGGTGCCAGCTGAAATGAAATGCGTCCTCCTTTAGATGATGGCCACAGGCTTCTTTTATGGAATAGTAGATCCAAGATAAATTAGTTTTCTCCCTTCCATTATGAAGGAAGCTGTTACCTTGATTCTTACTATTCAAGCTCTAGGAAAAGAAAGGATGAAGTAGGCTGTTTGCACTAGAAAGAGAAAAGGCAACTGTGATCTTTGGTTACCCCTGGTACTAATGGCTGAGTAGAGAATAGAAGGGAGAAAGGGGAGTTACCATCCATTAGTTTGTTTTAAATTTCCTGTGACCAGCAGTCTAATGTGCAGAATATGCGAAGAGAGTGCCTCACCTAACATAAATTGTCATAACCTGCGTGGCTGTCGCTGCAGGTACATGCATGGTGCCAGTGCTGCAAGGGTAGGATGTGTCTGGGGAAGACACAACATACTCTGTTTTGATGGTTCAAGGCAACTAGCTGCTTTCTTGCCTTGTATTCTGTCATTGAGAGAACACAAATATGATTGTCTCTTCTTACTAATTCAAGCCTTCATGTTGTCATCAGCCATGGTGAATTACATGTGACATCTGGAGGTATTTCTGGAGCTACTAAAATGAGTGAAATCCTCAAAATGCACAAATGAGATTAAACCCTTTTGCCCCTTTGTTGCAATAAGTAGGCAGACATTTTGTGGTACATTAACAGTGTAAAGTACTCAATTGCTTCTACCACTGCACAGACTTCAAATTTTAATTTGCTTTTTAGGTTCCTCAGAGCTTTCAACATTGCTTGCAATAGGTTGTCAAGATTTGATTTTTTAAACCCAGTTCTCAAACCAGCCCCATGTTTGCAGCTTTATAGCATAGCGAAAATACCATTAACGGAATGTCTACAGATTGATCTGAAATGGAATTCCAGCATGAGCAGCAATAGCAGATTTTTATTTAGCCATTCTATAGATTGAGAGGTGCTTAGATTATAATAAAGTGGTTGACACTCGGCTGCCTGGCTCAAATTTCCCTACTAGGTGAGGTGGAAAGAAACTACTTGTTTCCCTGATTTGATGTAGTGATTGGTTGTAATGCTTTACCTACATCTTGACTTCAACCATGAGAAAGTTGAAAATCCACTTTAGTGGGGCCCTACAACTCAATGATTCTCAAAAGGCCGGCAAATGTGAGCTTTGACTGTGTGCTTGGTCTCATCTCTCCAGCAGGGAGTACAGTGTGAAAGGTTAATGTAGCATAGGGAGGAAGAAGGACTTTGGCTCGAGTGCTTTAAGGAAATGCTGCTTCGAACTTGTTGAAACCTTGGAGAAGGTCAAACAAGAGTCAGCACTCGGGCCGTCACACTTTCTGATCTGGCCAAGTGACTGACCTAGAGGCTGGATGTAAACCTATTAAATCTCACAGGACAGGAAGTACTCTAGTAAATGTAAGACAAGTAGCTAAAGGGCATGAGCAATTTTGTGTGGATTATTCCAGTGCATTAAATGAAATGCAGTTTTGAGTATTAGAACTGCTTTTGTTGCAAAAGTTATATTAGCTACAAAGTTAAGAGATGACTCTCATAAAAAAATCTGTTTAAATTAAAGGGACCAAACCTTGAATAAAACTAATCTGAAAAATATCTAAATTATGAACTATAAAGCAGAGGGTTAAAATATTTTGTTCTATTTTAATAGAAGAATATAAGCTTAGGATGTGTAATGTTGAAACTATTTAACGCTTTGTCTCTCATTCTTCACGAAGAAAAGTCACTCCAACAAGTCTTAAGTATGAGAACACTGAGTTCTGCAACCATAAATTTTTCTGCAGCATAAATTACAGTAGTATATATTAAGAGAAGAAGATTTGAGAACTAATTTAAATAACTTTATATTTCTGGAACAGCTTTTTTAAAAATTTCTGTTACATTTTGCAAATCAGTAATACAGAAAGGAAATTTTTAAAAGGGACACTGTCAACACAAGTAGTTTATTATATAAATGGACAGTATGGAACAAAAACAATAATACCTATTTCCACTCCAACTTTTAGTTAACTTCTGTTACAAATTTGTTTACTTGGAGAGAACTGCAGCTTTTAAAAGTATGCATTTTTAGTGTTTCAGATTGTAGGGACTTCAAGTCTAGCTCTCTGTTGGGAATTCAAAGCCTTTTTGTAGTGGCAGAGAATAAGTTCAGTGAAAGATGCCGAGTGGATTATTTTTTTTGTTTTCATTTGGAACTGTGCTATTACAATTGATCCTGCCATATTTTTGATTCTGTGGTTCTATAGCCTGTCTTTCCCTTTCCTGAGTAGTTGAACTTCAAGTCTTTTTGAATTTGTAATAATTTATGTAAAAATGTTATATATATAAATATGATTTTTAAATGCACAATTATTTATAATAGTTTTTATATAAATTATATAATTATGAATTAGCTTTCATTAGCATCCAGAAGTTAAGTGGGGTGAAGGTAGACCTAAATTTTGGTGAGTCAGTAGTACTTATTCTTTTGAGGTAATGTTCTGCTGAAGTGTATGGATAAGGTGATCCTCATTAGGATACATATCTGCTGCCTGGACACAGGCAGAAAACACATTGGCAGGAGCTGGGTAGGTGGGATGCAGCCTTCTCTCCACTGATTTCTTCTGCTTAGGGTGCTAAAAAGCCAAGCTGCCTTCTGCCTGTGTTGTTGCCTGTGGAAGGAGGGCATAGAGCAAGGACGGACAGCCCCAGCTAGCAGCAAATGCTGCCTCCTTCTTTCCCCGGCTTGCAGCAAATGCTGCCTCCTTCTTTCCCCAGCTTGCAGCAGGAGCAACAAGCCCTCAGTGCTCACTAGCTTTTTATCTTCCCTTTAGTTGTCCATCTCCAGTTTCACAGTGGGCTGAAACTGTCGTTCTTGGAGCTGTAAAACTCAGCTGTGCCTGTTCTACTGAAGAATCTTGGCTCTGCTAATAAGAATGGTAGAAGATGACTGCCTTATTCTACAGTTTTACATGTTGATAAAACACAGCAGAGATTTGGCTGCTTACGGGGGTTAAATGTATATGTGTATCTTTAAAGACTATATTAGGATTGGGAGGTGAAATTCAGCAACCTCATGTTTAGTACAGGCAAGAGCTTTCCTTTTTAAACAGTAATGCATTGTAAAAGCAAAACACTGTGTTTCTGTTAGGTAGCAAAACTTGCTATCTAGTTTTCTGAGAGCCCTGAATTGTTAAAATTAAGTGTATATGATGATGCTTCTATGCTCCACTGGGCTCTACGTTAAGGTTCAAGAACTCATTTTGTTGCTGCTGACCTGGAGTCGTCTCCAGGATGGTTAGAAGTGACCCCATCAATCTGTTGCACGCAGGCTTGTGAGGCCTGTCCCCAAAGACAGCCTGGTTGATTACCTGCATGTTCCAATTCCACAAGTGATGTCTATTGGAGAGCAAAAGGAGGAGAGATGGAAATGCATGTTCTGCAGTTACTGAGGATGTTTCCTACCCTCAGAAAATCCACAAGGATACCATAACAATGTGGTACAGAAGAATCTTTTCCTGAATTTTTAAAGGATTTTTGTTTGGATTAGGCTTCTAGTTGGCTTCTTAAATAAGAGAGTCTTTACTTCTTTAAAACTGGGGGAGGGGGGAATTATTTACTAAATGATGGCACTCTCAAAATCAAGGTCAGCTTAATCTTCCTAACTGTCAGATTTTAATGTCTGAGGGTCCTGGTGGTACAGTATCGCAACTGTACCGTTTGAGCTAGTATTTCTGGAAAAAAATGTTGAAAATTCATCTTTCCTTTAGGGAGGTCACCTATTGTTGTTTTGATTCCTCTTTTTTTCCACGAGCATAAATATTTGCTAAAACTTTAATGATTTGAACCCTAAAGATATGAAACACCATTGCTTTCTTTCAAGATGACTTGGGAGAAGTTAGATGGGTTCTACAGGAACAACAGTCTGAAGAAATTTGAAACAGTCTGAAGAAATCTGGAACATATGCTGCCTAAAAGCAATGTGTTGACCTGAGGAATACTGCTTTCTATATGGTACAGCTTTGAGAAGATGATCTTTTTTTATTCAGAGCTTCACATTTTGTGCTTTTAATGTTTCAGGGACCCATATCACATGATCGCCGCAATCAATCCAGAGAAATTAAATATTTTCCAAACAGTGAGAGAGATAACAGGTAACATACTTTTGATCTCATGTAATCTGAACTTCTCACTTTGCTGCTGCAAATTAGCTTCTGTAATCTAAAGACAAATGTATAATGTCTGGGGTGGTAGTCCCTCCCATCTTTTGTGACTTTTCAGTGGGGTCATATAGCTAGAAATCAGTTCTTTGCTTTCTTGCATCTTGCTGATTGTTATTTTACCATTTGGGGGACAAGGAGGAAGATACTACAGCTTTGCATTCTTGTGTGATTGTTGATCATGTATAGATAGGGAAATGCAAAAAAAAAAAAAAATTCGGGCAAAAACCCAATATCTTTGGACTCTACAGCATGATTGTAGCTGAGTGGAGCTCAACAAGTGTTTGGCATTTGTAAATAGTTCTCTTCCACATGCTTCGCCTCTCAAAAGTTGTGTATTTCAGCAAACCAGTGGGATTAAAAAATGAAAGTAAGCTCTAAATCTCTCCCTAATTAATGTCAAAGATAATCTGGCAGCTGGGTGTCTGTAATTTACCATTCTTAAACACACTGTCTAATTGACAGTCTCAGCTCTGCTGCTTAAGTGGAATTACCCCATGCTTAAAGATGTACTGCATTTCAGTCCAGTACTGAGCGAGAATCACAGGGAACTGCACTCTGTAGAGGACTGTGTAGCACAAAATAAGTAGTTCCACTTACTTGTGCATGGAATACTCTCTGGGGATGAACAGTCCTCACATGCACACTCAGAAACGAATGTGAGTTCTTTGTTTTAGGAAAGTCTTGTCATCTTTTAATGCATTGTAACAGATCTCTCAACTTCTGTCCTAACTCTCTAGCACATATTGAAACTGAATGTTCTTAACTCAAGCAAATCTTCATTTTTTTTCTGTTGCCGCTGTTCAGAAAAGGCTAGGGGGCCTTGCAGTATTCCAGCCTGTGTTTAGGTTCACCCTCACTGTAGATGTTGAAAGTTAACGTAATGCTGCTGTGACTGTTACAGTCCTCCTTTGCCTCCTTGGAGGAGACAGTGGTGAGCAGCCTGATTAATTCAAAAGACAGTAGTCCAAAGCATTCATTGGCTATTTATTTATTTTTCTCAAACCAGCACTGTCTTGCATTTATAGGCTAAGCCTGTCCTGACTCGTGGATGTGATAAAGCAGTCTTTATGGCTAAAATCATTGACATTCACATGCTTGCATTTCTCTCCTTCAGGGTATTTGAACATACAGTCGTGGCCTGAGAACATGACAGATTTCAGGGTGTTTTCTAACTTGGTTACTATCGGTGGAAGAGCTCTCTATAGGTAAGGTGCTTCATCTGTTGATGGAATTGTCTTTTATTAGTATTCAATGATTCTTTATTCAATAACACAAGATGCAACACCCTTTGGGAAGGGCATCATAAATTGATATGTTTTTCCTCTGTTACCAAGGTATTCATTGACAATATCTTTCCTAATCAGTTGTTTGTAGTAGGTAATGCTTTTTGAATATAATGATTTTTAAAAAAACACCAAAGTATCTCGGTTCATTGCCATAGCTATTAACTCATTGACTGGAAAGTGTGTTTTATGGTTTAAATTAGTTTGTGAATGTGAAACATAACTTAATAGTAGAATTTAGCCCCGTTATCGGGAAGTTTATAGGGTTGCAATTGGAAGTGCAGGCTCATGTGCCCAAAGAACAACGTGGTCTTAAGAAATGGTAAAAGATAAATACATGGAAGAAGACTGAACTCGCTGAAGTACCTTGCAGGTGAGGTATACATTAGCTCTGTGGTGCCATTTTTACCGGAGATGTTTCTGTATGAAAACTCATATGGAGGAATTGGTTTAAAGAGAAGAAAATGCAGTGAGAAATAATGGGGGAAGCACAAGAAGGTACCTGAATGATATATACAGAGCCAAACCCTGGTTCCTCATTGTGTAAATATAGTAAATCACTCATGGGATTCTGCTGGCGTCTTAAACAGCAGCTCAAGCAGATTATGAATAGCAGTGAAACCTTGAGATTGAATTATAGCCCAGCATTCTGTTTGGAAGCAGCAACTTTTATTTGGAACAGCTGGAAAACAATTATAAGCATTAAAATACGATAACTTAAGGGATGCCCAGAGACTGGGTATTGTCTTCACTAATCTTCAGTCATAAAATACGTGCAGTCCTTTCTGTGGCACACAGAATCATTTACTGCTCTTTTGATGAAGAAAGGCAATAACCACATATTACAACAAAAGAAAAATGGAATGTAGAAAGTGGGCTGGAAAAATTTCCTTGAAAATAACAGTTTCTTCCCGTATTACTATAAATGACAATAATTTGATGCCTGACAGAATATGTTAATACATTTTTCATGACTTTGTCAGTTTCTCCTTAGCATATAAACTATCTTAGTATTAATTATGTCATCTTAGAAGAAAAATCTGGATCTCACTCAGGTTTCTCAGCAGCACTTTATCTCAAAAAGATAACATGTTAGTGTATGAAATGGAACTAGTTGAGGTGTTTTACTGGCCCAGTTGGCCTACCACCGTGAGAATCACAGCTTGTCCGTGAGTCTCACAGGACTCATAATTTTCTAGCCAGTAGAACTGGATGTTGACTCAAAATTTTTGTGTCACTCCAAAATAAAAGTTTTCTGACCAAATTTCAGTTGCCAAAAAGATAATCTTGACATTTAGGAACTAATTCTATTGGGAAATTCCCAACCAGATCTAATAAGTTCCTCTTCTGTCTTACCTTTTTTTTTTTTCATCACAGTGGCCTTTCCTTACTCATCCTAAAGCAACAAGGCATTACCTCTCTGCAGTTTCAGTCCTTGAAGCAGATCAGTGCTGGCAACATCTACATAACAGACAACAGCAATTTATGCTACTACCACACTGTCAACTGGACCAGCCTCTTCAGCACACCCAGTCAAAAGACGGTGATTCATCGAAATAAGAAGGCAGAGAACTGCAGTAAGTACTGCTGCTCAGTGCACATCTTCTTGCATATGATTGGCTCACCTCGGGGGGGAGATGATAGAATACTGACAGGATACAGTGCAGTGAGCAGGCCAGGAACTTGGCTGGTGTCTCTTGGAACTCCATGCGCATCAGTGGAGATGTGATCACTTACAGAATCTAAGGAATCAGTCCATTCTGTCTCTGAGCAGATTTATAGGCAAATGAAATGTTTTAAAGTATGAACAAATGAAAGGGGAAAGAGAAAAAAGAGAAAAGCCTGCTTCCTTACCAGGCTGTGAACTGTACAGATTAGAGATCCACTTTCACAAATACAGATTCTGAAGGCTGTCAGTGTGGAGTGAATGTAGTGCTCATGATAGACACTGATTTTACATACTCAGAACCTACAGCCCTTTCCTTATGGAGTGAGATTAGCATCTTTTGCTTCTCCTGCCCTGCTTCACCAAAGTGTCCCTGTCTTAGTCCAGAAAGGTGACTTTTAGGACTGTTTTTGATCACTGGGTTCGTTCCTCCTTTCGGTACTTGACCTATCTAATAAAGAAGATTACTTTTAATTTGGCCTAATTGTCTTTCAGGAAAGCTCACTTGCCAGTGCCTGGACTGACATCAGAGTACTAAAAAGCAAATGAATACTATGTAGCAGATAAAACAATTTGCAGAAATCAGGCAGCAAGCTGCATTAATACAGTGATATTGTTGCAAGAGTAATTTTAAGCATCTGTAAAGCTGTTAGCATGAGAGGAGATTAATTAAATTGCTGTATGTTTAAGTTATATTTCTGGGTTTTGTGCTTTGACCAGCCAGAAATGTTTGCCTTTGGTTTTTTTTCAGGCTCTGGTCCTACTTTTAGCTTCCTCTTTTAGTTCTTTTTTTTTCCTTTCCCCTTCCTGGCCCTTTGAAGTACTATTCTGCTGTGCTTTGAGAGAATTTCTGGCCGTGCTCATCAGTGTAGTATACCTTTCAGTGTAACACTGAGTGTACCTTTCAGTGCTAGATGAAACACAACTATACGTTTATCACTACTGCTCAGTTATTTTTCTAATCTCTTCTGCCACGTAAGAGCTACATGAAGTGGAAAGTCTTGTTTGGTAGGTCTCTGTGTGGTTTTGTTTTGTTTTATTATTATTATTATTATTATTATTATTATTATTATTATTATTATTATTATTATTATTATTATTATTAGACTGTTTCTCTACATACAAGTTTAAAAAGTGACGATTAAAGAAATGCTTCTTGCTGTTGGTGTAGATAGTTTAATTGTGATTGTGCCTGATGGTATAGAGGAAAAGAGTTTTCTTAACCTCCAACAGACCGCTGTCCACTTTTAAACTGCAGCACACTTTATCCTGTGGTGTAAACATACTGTTATAAGAGACAGAAGGATGTGCTGAACAGGACTTCTCTTGGTAGAAGTTTTTGTTTATTTGTGAAAAAAAACCCTGTCCTTGGTGTGGGCTATGAAACTATGGACTAGACTCTTACATTTGGTAGAACATTTTGTGGGAAGGCAATACAGAAGGTGGAGGAGAGATGCAGAGTCTGCTGCTGCTTCTGTGGTGCACGAAGTGTGTCCTGTGTGTTGAAGAGCTTCGTGCCCTGGCCCTTACTGCTGTAACCCAGGCAAGAGGTGAGAAAGGCGTGAGTAAATGAATGCAGGTGGTTGTCTGTGAGCATAGCGTAGCTCTCTATCATCCAGAGATGACTGAATATAGGATGATAATGTCATGTGGGAATGAAGCATTGATGAAGAGTCCAAGAATAGTCCTGAATAATTAAATGAGTTAACCATTTACAGGACAAAGAAGACTGCACAGTCTCTATTTTCAACATGCCCAACTTTATCTTGTTCCAAATTAGCTCTAGTTGCTAAACATCCATGAGCTTTGTATCATCATTTTAATGGGTTCTACTGTCTTGTTTTTCATTTTTTCCATCTCAAGGCTTTTTCTTTACTTAGAATCCTTCTGAGGGTGAATATTATTTGGACATTTAATAAGATCAACCTTGCAAGGGAAAAGCAAGCAAATTCATTCATTTAATTTTAAGAAGTCACAATGTAAGCTACAGTACCAAGGGACTAGTTTTAAAAATGGAGTCGAACCTATGTTCATTAAATGGTCTGTATTTAATGATCGTAGGCTAGGTGCCAAGTTACTCTGTTCAGAAGGCAGTGTCTTATACAGCTGACTTCCTGAATCCGAACAGGGAACAGTGGTTTTCTCTCTCTATGCACGTCTGTGTGAATAGATTGTTTAATGTTTTGTGGCTTTTTGAGAGTCAGCATTAGATGAGAGGAGCTATCCTGCTGCTTCAACTCTGCCTGTCAGTCAGCACCTCTCTGGAGTTAAATGGGTTCTGCTGCAGGTTAGATGTCTAACTAAAATCCTCACAATTACTTGGAGCAAGGCAGAACTCTTCCTTAGAGCCAGGTGCCTTTCTCCAGCATCCTCTGAAACATCTGTAATTTTCAGCGTAGGCCAGCAGGCTGGGGTTTAGGAGAGTTTTCTCTAAATCTTCCAGTGCTTGAATGTTAAGAGATCTGTGATAGTTTCACTGGGCTGGCCCTTGGCCAGCAGCCAACACAGCCATTCACCCACTGCCCCCACCCCCAGGGGTTAGGGAAGAGGACTGGGGCAAGGGTAAGGAGACTTGTAAGGTGAGATAAAAACAATTTAATAATATAAATAAAAGAAAACTTAAAATAATACTAATATTAAAATAGTAGTGATGATAACAGTAATAAAATATGCAAATGAGTGATACCCAGTGCAACTGCTCACGACTCGCCAGCCAAGCCCGGCCCGTTCCAGATAACGATCCCGGAGGAGCGACAATCCCGAACCGAAACCACAATCCTGGGAGAGCCAGAGCCCAAGCAAAAGCCAGAGAGAGCAAGAGAGGGAGAGACCCTCATGAATCTCCTGCCCATGGGGGACAGGAGATGGAACAGCCCCTTGACAGAGCCTAATGCCAATTTAGCTTATTAGTGTAAATATTCCTCACCCCCTTAGATCTTGCGCTTGTAGACTGACAGAACGTGAAGCCCTTCACTTCTAGTGACAAAAACACAAACGCTGGTGTGTTACCAGTGTCTCTCTCATAACAAATCCCAGGCTGAAACCAAACCCCAGCACTGTTCCAGCTACTAAAAAGAAGCCCAGCTCTGGGCAAGCCTCTAGTGTTCCCATTTCTGCCTTTCTGTTATTTTGGCTGCTCTAGACCCTGATCCTGCAGATGCTTGGGCATATGCTCATGCTTCTCTCAGTGACAAGTAAGGCTAATCAGAATGAGAAGGGGAAATGTGTAAGTAAATATTTGCAGGATTGGAATCCATCCTGTATAGCAGGAATACTGTCTGCTTGTATGGGAACTAGCAGAGTGTGAATTGTTAATAAAAATCTCCATTAAAGACACTTTTTCACACAGTTTCCAGTGAAGAAACCAGTCTAGACCATGTTATTTAATACAGCCACTCTCAGGTATGTTTATTATTATTTCTGTGTCTATTTTGAGTCACTATCAGGTTGTTTTTGCTTTCCTCACTACCTAGTGATTGGTAATGACTTAACGCAAGTTACGCCAAACATTTAATATCCATGTGTAGCTTTTCTTAAAAATCACGTAAGAGCTTCCAAGATCATATTTAAGTGACTTTTAGAATATATCACAAGATGGCTATCTCTTTTCCATACCGTTGAATGCTGTGCTCAGCTGACCATATAAGTCAGTGAGGAAATGTTAAAAAAATTGTTGAGGGAGATAAAATATTTGTTGAAAAGTTTTTTTGGTCTATAGTGACGCTTCATTTTGGAGATAACACTGGCATTACAAGGTTTGGCAGAACCCTGATTTATTTTTTTATTTTTCCCCCAACAAAGAAGTTAAAGACAACAACAATAATAAAGTCAGTGGAAAATTCTATGGAATTACCCAAAACACAAAATATACTTTATTGTCCTGATACCGTCAGTTATTTCATCTTGCTATTTCTGCTACCTCTTAATGATGTTAAAATAGTCACTAAGTATTTCACCACCTTTGAGGCAGCTTTTCTAAAAGCTGGTTAGAAGCCTAGGGCAGACTTCACTTGTTTGTGGAATGTTGAAAATACAGATGTGTGTGTTTTGAATGGAAGAAAAATCCATAAACCCCACAATGCTCTATTGCTTTGTGTTGTCTTTAGAATATTGTCCCAGGCAGGGCTAGAGAGGGGTGGGTACCTGGAAGGAATGCGACCTCTCTGTCATCCACCTTCCATGCACACATTCAGGGACAGAAATGTCAGTGTCCAGCTTGTGTACACAGGGAACATAGAACAAAGTTACACCTTTGAGGCTGAGCACCATGGGGAGGGCGGCAGTGCCTGATCATCAGTGAAAGACTGCATAGACCCTAAAAGATGCCTAGGCTTGGGGGCTGAGGACAGGAGAAGATTTGAGGGCAAGGGACAAGTTGAGGCTTCAAGAGCTGTTGCAGCTTTAGCACAGTCTGATAGTGTCTCCCAAGCTTGTTGAAGAGGTCAGGTGGCAAATGGGCATCTTCAAACTGGTAAACCTGATGGAAATTAATTGGGGAACATTTATCTAAAATGGAGTGTGGGAAGCTCTTGTCTAATGCAGTTTTTTAAATTGTCTACTACTATAAACTGTAATGTTAAACACAGTTTGTGCATAAAACTTACCTTGTTATGAACATTATAAATGCAGAATGAATGACTGTCAAGTTACTTGCTAGAGAATGTGCTCTGGTAGTTAGATTTTACTGTTGCTCCATGCTGAAGTGAAGGATCTGCCTTTTTTTTCCCAGCATGGGGTTTTTTATGAAACAGTCAGAGATGACTCATGTTAAATATGAGTACACACAAAATAAAGGTAGAAAAACTGTTCTTTTACACCAAGTTATTTAAATCATTCCTTTCAGCTTTAGTGACACCTCCAGTGTACAGTGGAACCTTTCTAGGCAAAGGTTGTTAGAAATGTGATTGTTATGAATTATATCAATTTAGCCACCAATTAACAACTTGAATAAATGATTACACTCATTATCAGGTGTGATGCAAAGCTAATTGAAGTCTGCGGGAGCTTTTCTATTGAGTTGATGGAGCTTTGGATCAGGCCCATAAGCGTATAGCCAAGTAACAATCATTTTTCTTTTTTTAGGTGGCTAATTTTCTTTGTTCTATCTAGGCTGGGGAAAAACATTGAACCTTTCTGCTTCTAACCTGTGTGACCCCATTAATAAAGAATGAACACTTGTTCTAAAACTCATGATGAAAATTAGTTCCTGTCAAAAGCGTTATTGTTCCTTCCTTCCCCTTACGGCCGTGTGATACCTCGAGCTTCAGAACGTTCTCAGCCCGTGGAAATGCCAAATAATGTGTCTAAAATTGAAACATTTCTTTAGCCATCCCTGTAATTAAAGAAGAGGAAGAAAGACAAGTGTAATAGGTTTTTATAAGCTGTGAAAAAACCCCACTCCCTTCTTGCTAAGATTCATTTATTAAAACATTTCTATGACTTAGAAATAAACAGAAGGAAGCAGTGATTTTTTTTCTTTCCCCTCTTGCTTTTTTCATAGACTACAGGCACTGTGTTGGCTAGATTTCAATAGGGTAATCATGATTTTCTTTACTGAAAAGCTCTCATTTTATTTGCATAAGGTTACTCAGTATACTTTTTGTGAGCTATCATGTAATAGTGTCACTTGCTACTTGAAGGGGTATTTTAGTGCAACACTCTGTGCATGCATGTGTAAATAAATGCTGATCCTAGAGTAGTCTGACAGCTGAGAATAGCGAAAAGAGAGGACATCACGAGTAACAAAAGCACAATTTCATGTTACCAAAAAAAAAAGTGAGAAAGGAAAATAGGAAACTACCTTTCAATGATAAGAGTTTGTAAAATAAAATCAGAAGAATTACTAATAATCTGAAGATTGAAAATGAAAACAAAGGGTTCTCCAAAGCAGGGTTGGTTTTTTATTGCATGACAAGTACTTAAAGTGAGTTATTGACTGTGAAATAAATCTCTTCATCTAAAAAGTTTGCTTAATTAGAACTGTAGTAGTTTCTGGGTTTGATTTTTTTTTTTTTTCCCTTTTTTTCTTATTTGCTGATACAGCTTGAGCCTGGAGCTGTCTGTTAATCCCAGGTGTCCCTGTGACAGGCAGTGTGAGGCAGGACTCCTATATTTGTTTGGTCAGTGTCACCATGAGACTGGATGAGATCAAGGGAGATTGGCAGACCAGGCATGAGGTGCTGGAGTCTGCTCTGAGGGAGCCCTCAAGTGTGCTCTAGTTCCTAAGGCATACTTAAAGTTCCCCTGAAATGACCAGCTGTATCACCCAGAACTTTTTCCTGGGTGCTCCTATAGGCAGTGAAGGTGAAATAAGCCAAAACTGGCCTTTCATACCAAGTCAGTATGCCAAAGCCAGCATTAGACTGAGATATACATGAAATGTCTAAAAAGTAGGTGAAAAAGGAAACTGCGAGGGCTACACGTGTAGCGTTTGCTAATGTGAAGCTTTTGCACAGTTAATTTTATTTCTATGAAGTTCAGTCAATGGCAGCGTATTGGAACTACTGACATCTGGTAGTTGTTGTAAAAAAGTTGCCACGCTTAAAAAAGGTTAGGGGTAGGACAGTAATGAAAAGCTGAATTTTTTGTCTCTGCTTCAAGAAACTTTGGTGAAGTTCCTTTGACTGCAGCAGGACAGCTCCTGATTTAGAGCAGAGCTCGGGGGAAGAGAGTGAGATGTCTCTATGTAATGGCATGGCAATTTGTTTATATATTAGGTAATAGCTCAGGTCTCTCTTGCTGTGCTGGAATCTCTGAGAATTAATACACTTTAAAGGAAATTAAATGAATACTTGGAATTACTCCTAAATTTAATAATTTTATGTTTGGCTGATTAGAGTTTTTAGGCAAAATAAGAACCAAAAATATATATATTTATATATATATATATATGTATTCAAGTATTCCAGCCTTGGTAAGACGTGGGTGTGCAGACTTTTCATGTCCAAGGTTACTTGTGGAATTGCACTGAATAAGCCAGTGCCCATCTGCCTGCTGAATTACATGTATTGGACAGCAGAGCCATGCGGGGTCAGCAGCAGCAGGGCTCTATGAGTAGGAAGCGTGCTGGTGAATCTCTTGTTCTTGGATCAGTTTGCCTGCAAGGGCTGGAGGACATGAAATCTGTGATTGGTTCCTTTGCTGCTTATACAGGTGCAATGTCCTTTTTTGGCACTGAATTATGAAAACGTTCTAGGCAGAAAAACAAACAAGTAGATGAAAATCTGCCATTCTCCATCTTGATAAAGCAAAATGTCCTATTGCAAGAATAAAGGAAATATGGAAGAAGCTTCACTTCTCTCCCCTACTTGTTACATGGGCTAAGAGAGAGAAACCATGCATACAATTGTTGCGTATTTTTTGCTGAAGGAAGTGCTTTCTGATAAATTCAGTGGTCAGGAAGCAGGGTGACAGTGGGAGGAGGGACAGGACAGGTAGTGTATACCAGTAGGCTGCTCTAACAGGTATTCAGTGGGTCAAATGTGAGACATTATATACACCATAGCGCAGAATAACCAGTGTTAAAATAGGCTGTGGAGAGCAGAAAGCATCTTTCCACTGACCCTTTCATGATTTAGAAGGGCTTTGTCCTCCTCAGGTGATAAAACTCAGTATCCTTTTTAATTGTTAAGATAGGTTGTAATGGAGAGTACCTAACTGCACTGTTCCAGTCACGACAGCGGACACAAGACCATAAGGTGTCCTGAAATGAAAACAGAGCTTTTTTTCCTAGTCACTTAGCTATGCTGCTGTACTGAAAGAAGTGTAGAAAAATGGTGTGCACAGAACTACTGTCTTTTTATTTTATATAAAGCTGCCAGAGCAATTTTGCAAAAAGGTTTTCTCTTGCTTTTGCTATTGCCCCTGTTTAAATAGGTGCTGGGTGTCTGCAGTTGCTGTTCTATAGGTGTACTGAGTGTGTGTGTGTCTGTTCCTGACTCGGCATCTTCATTGCTACAGCATTGGAGGCGGTGGTAGAATTCCACCAGTAAACCTACTTTTAATTTATTATTTGACACTTCTCTCAAGTTGTTTCCAGTGTTAAAAACAAAAAACAACCACAAAAAAACCCCAAACAAGTGTTTATATATTTACCATCTCTGATATTTCAGATCTTTGCTATTTTTAATCTCAGTCTAGTATGTAAGTATTTGCATAAAATGTTTCATCATGTGAGAGTGAATTCTCAAATATCTACCCCTTCAGAGGCCAGAGTGGGGCTGAATTTGTGCAACTGGACCTTCTTCAGATGCTGGAGAGATAACATGTTTCATTTTGCTCTTTGCTTATTTTCTCCACCTGTCACGGTCATCTAGATATTTATGTAGAGAAGGATTTACATAAAATAAAAATACGGAATTAATTACATTGTCTGAAGCAACCTTTCTCCCTCATCCTTTGCTCATTTTGTTTATTTAAGCTGAATTTTTGTTTTGAGACAGAGACCCTTGTTTATTTTATGTATTTTCTGGGTTTTAATGTGAAGGCTCTTGGGCTCTTCAGGTGCTTTTGCAGTAAGCAATTTAAAAAAGCATGGTTAATGATGACTTTTCTTCAACTTTTTCCCTACAGTCCTTAAGTTTTATTGCAGGGAGTCCTCAGTTCAGAGGTAGAGTTTTATCTTTTAGTTTAATAGCACTTCTGTGGATTTGGACAAGCGATTTTTCAAATCCTTTAAAATTTTGGTATTTAGCATGTCCTTTGTTAGGGAATTCTGCAGCTTGATCTATAATTTCTATGACGAAAAATCTCAGATTTGAACCCTGTTGGGTTCCTGTCTCTTTGAATGCCCATGAGGGACTTGGAAGAAGCAATGAACAATTGTTTCATACTTACTTACCTTCTTTTCTTGTCATTCATGATTTTATAGACCTTTAACATGTCCTTTCTCACTCATATCTAAGGCTACTTGTCTGTTTATTCCTGGTATAGAAGCTCCTCTCTAGTTTTGATCATCTTTGCACTGCCCTTAAACCTTTTTCTCACTCTACTATATCCTTTCTGAAAGGAACAGACCAGGAGTGTGTATAGCACTCAAACTGTGAGTGCACAGTGTTTCTGTAGTGGTATGATGATAATTTTTTTGGTTTTCTCTATTATTTTCTAGAAAACCTGAATGTTCAGTTTACTTTTCTGAGTGTGGCAGAATGCTAAATGAAGTGTTTTGCTTTGGATTTCAGAGGACTATGTAAATTAATGATGGTATCCTCTCTCTCTGCAGCTGCTGATGGAATGGTGTGTAATGAGTTATGCTCAAGTGATGGCTGTTGGGGACCAGGGCCAGACCAGTGTCTCTCCTGCAAGCGCTTCATCAGGGGAAGGACCTGCATAGACTCTTGTAACCTATATGATGGGTAAGATATTTCCCTTGCACTTCTCCCTAAGGTTGCTGACTACATTGCTCAGGACTTCCATGAGTAAGTTATTTTGTCTTGACATTAATCAATATCTGTTTCCATTGCCAATATTACTGATTTTAAGTGAAATACACTGTGAGGTAAGTTTTAAGCATTTCCAAATCTGAACTTGTGTAGAAGGCTTTACCTAGTATTCTGCTGACTGATATTTTCTTGCAATATCAAAAGTTTGTTGCACCTTTTGCATTCTTAATGATGTGAACAATTTGATGTAGGTGAAATCCACCATTTAGCCCTACTTGAATTGAATATTGACACCCGTATTCAGAAACACATACAATTATGTTCACAGAATCACAGAATGGTTCTTCCAGATTAGTTAGATTTAGACATGTGATAAAGGATAAGGACCCCAAAGTAGGAAAACTCACTCTTTTTTTTTTTTTTTTTTTTTTCATAATATGCTATGTACGTGTCCACACAAATATAAACAATAAAACCAACATGAATTCTTCCCCCTTTTCCTTCTCCCACTCATGCATGTGCATCATCTTTTCTGGAGGGTGACTGGGGGAATACCTACATATGGCATAGCAAAAGGTGAATCTGAGTCTGGCTTATGACAGAAAAATAGAGCTGAGCTGCTTATATTAGCTGCAGCAGAAGAAATTCCTAATTGGGCTGTGGAGGGAAGCAGGTGGAATTTCACTTCCCTTATAACAGTATAGCAAGATCCTTGGAACCTCTTCTAAAACCGAGATAAAAAAAAAACCCCTAAGTTATCCTTTTCAGCTCAAACTTCTAATTGAAAATAAGATCACTTTATGGTTTCTTTCTCTTTCTTCTGCTGCCCTCGATGCCAGCTCATGTAACTGTTATGGAAAGAGTATTGAATGAACTCTCCTATATATGTGAAGATATTCTAAACTCTTCTATTTAGACAATGCATGCAAAAAAAAATCTTGTCAGAGTACAAGTTTTATATGCTTAAAAGCCAGCCTCCTCTCCCCCTGAAAAAAGAAAAAAGAAAAAAAAAAGGAAAAAAGAAGAGATGCAGACCACAGACCACGGTTGTGCTCTCATATGCACCAGAATATATTGGACCACGTTTAGTGACTGGTGTCACCATGAAGCCTATTGCAGTAAGATCATGAGGAGGAACTCATGACCAGCCCTCAAATCAGGATGTTCTGATCTGTATCAAATAAGTGAATAGTATTTACACTTTCCACAGGCTCAGTTACTTCCTAAGTATGTGAAATTATATGTCACCTGGGCTTGGGGAGAAGTTTTTCATTTGCTTATTTGAAATCTCTGCACGCTCATCTCTCAGGGCAGCAACAGAGTGGAGTCAGATGTATTTGACATCTCTTTTAGTCCTCAGCAGGAGAGCTCTATCTCCAAAGCCAGAGAAGGGTGAGCTCATTTGCTGTGGTCAAGTGAGGTTTTCCTCAACTGTATTGTAGCAATAGATCCTAATGGCTGTAGAGGAGCAGAGGCCTTCATCTTTACCTGGGTGTTACTAGAGCCCACTAACATGAGTGTGCAGTGCATCTTTAACTGTTTAATGCTAATATTTTAACTGGTTAATGCAACAAGGTGGGATCCATCTGCAATCAGAGTGGTTTCAGATGTTAACTCTTATCTCAGTCTAGAAGAGGGTGGGGTTAATTGTGTTGAGGAAGTGCTGGAGGTTTTTTGTGATGGGCAACTGGAAGCTGAAATGAGGCTCCCGGTGCTTGATGGAAGAAATCCCACCTGCTGTCACTACCTTTTTTCCCCCTTATAAGTGGTTAATTAAAAAAAAAAAAAAATCACTTGGGTGAAAGTTTCTTGTGGATACATGAAATAAATGAGCCAAAGGATTTTTTTTTAACTCTTTATAGATTTATACCTCAGTCTAGAATTCTTGTTGATGGAAAAGGTATGGGCCTTTTGGAGAATGGGCTTTGAAACAGGAGCGTGTGCAGAGACTTAACTAAAACAACAAGAGCAGCACTGTGATCAGTGCTCTTTCTAATCCTTTCCTGTCTGATAGTGATGTCTCACATGTAACAAGTGGCTTCCTGAATCTGAGCCGTGAGGGGCAATTCCATAGATAAAATTTGAGAAATTAAGTGCTTTATCCTGTTAATAAGGTCCTTATTTCTTAAGGAAAGAGGAGTAGAACCACTAGTTTTATACTTGTAAACAAGATGTCTACTGCTTCACCTGCCTATGACTAGGGTTGCTGATGGGGCCCAGTTCTCAGCTGGTGCAAAGCAGCATAATGTAATTAACAGAACTGATTGCAGCTGGCATAGTCAGCTGACTGCAGTAAAGCTGAAGTGATTTCCACCAGGTGAGAAGCCAGCCATTTTGTCTCAGTTTGTCTTACTTTTGCTTTCTCCTAAACTGCCTGCAAAATATTTTCCTAGGGAATTTCGAGAATTTGCAAATGGTTCTGTCTGTGTGGAGTGTGATCCCCAGTGTGAGAAGATGGAAGAGAACATGATCACGTGCTATGGACCGGTAAGAACAACATTCGGTGTATTATGGGCTAGCTTGTTAAAGTGTGCTAAAGCACAGACGTTTTTTGCTTACAGACTTTAAAGTGGCTACTGGAAGTTAAAGTTAAAAGCAGAAAATATGCATGTTCTGCATGTAGGGAAGGAATTCTGCTCATGTTAAATTGGCTCTGGGAGTAAAATTCTTTGGATCAGCCTCTGTAAGAAAGTGGTTTGCAGAGTAGCGTCCTTTTCTTCCCTGAGTTGTCTTAATGCCTTAATGGTACAGCAGCACAAAGTTTTTAAATTACAGATAGCATGCACTCGTGATTTAAGTGCCCTTTTATCACTATTTTTATTCTTTATACTCAGTTCTGACCTGTTCTACTGCATCTTCAGTTACCTTTTTTTCCTACAAAAAAGTGTAGGAATTTGTCTTAATCTCTCAGCTTGAACAATATCTTACTTTTTTCTTTAAGTTGGGTTAGCCTTTTAGGTTGTTTTGATAGAAATTTTTTTTCATGAATGTTAACTGTCACCTTTATTCATGGCAGTGAATCTTCTTTCAAAGATTACTGTAAGATAGGTGTTGTGTCTTTTTTTGGGGGGGAGGTGTTTGTTTGGTTTTGGTTTTATATTACCAAAATTAAAAGTCACAAGCTTTCTGGGCAATGAGGAGTTGTATTTTAGGCTCTTGAGGAAACTTAACCCTAACTTATTTTGTTATTTCTGTTACTTACTTACTGAATGGAAAAAAAAAAAAAAAAAAGCATAATTGTTTTTGTTGCATTACTGTGTTTTCTGCAACACAACCATAAAGCAAGAAGTTAATGTTTCAAGTGTTCAACCCATAAGAGAAATCTAGATTGGTAGCAGGACTCGTGGACATAAAATCCTAAACCAGTGCCCAACCTGAACATCAGATTTGGTTATACACTGGCTTATCATCACAGCTCAAAAATTTTTACTTTTGCATTGTCCAGGAGCCTTGCTTTGTGACAAACTGTCACAGTGTAGTCTGTGTATGTATTAAGAAGGAGACCTTGTAGTTCTTCAGTGTTGTTGTGCCCAGATACCACAGGGAGAATGCAGTGTGGAAAAT